TTTCAGGCCAAATTTGAGAAACAAATTTGTTTATTCTGTAAAACATTGCAATGGAGAAGTCATAAAAATAAAATTTTATTATTGATGTTAAAATTGTGGTTAGTGTTATGAGGAAAGAAAGAGCTACTTTTGGAATGATTTGGGGAATGTAATAATGTCCTTGTCTCTGGAAAATTACACAGGACTGAATGACTGGATGGCCCCCTCAGCTGTTCTGCAAAGATGAGGTTAAGGATGAACCAAATTCCTTTCATGAAAAGTTGATTAAAGTTTTTTAAAAGACCAATAAAAATCCTGTTGTTTAATGTGAGGCAGTTTGTAAAGTATGGATATGGGATTGTGAAGCAAAGGCTTTGGTCTCATACATATCTGGTTGCCAGTTCTACAATTTTGTTTGTTAAAAGTTGACCTTGGACAACTACATAAGCCCTTTCCTCACCGGTGCAATGGTGACAACAATACCTACTTTGCATACTGTTGGGATAACTTGAAAGAATTGATGTGATGGTTGGATGACACAACCAAGCATTTAAAACATATTATCTGGTATAATTAAAATGATAAAGAAATTATTAAGACCTAGGTTTGCAAGTTAAATTAACATACATTTAAAATCTTTCTGTGACCATATTTCTATGGTAATGATTGACCATAGAATCCATGGTGCAAAAGAGAAACCATCATACTTTGTCACAATAACATTTGATGCATACGTTATGGCTGGCTTCCCATTTCACCTCCACTGCAAAGTTTGGTGAGATTTTTGTCATATCCTCGTCCCTTTCCTATTGTATTTGGTATTTTTTTGGGACAAGGAAAATCCTGGTTGTGTTGATGATTTCTTATGGTTTCCAAATCAGAACAGGCTTCCAGAGCCTAGAATCAGTCCTCCTTCTCAGTGGGGCACTCTCTGGCTGCATGCCTCAGAGGACTGGGGCCTGTAAACTCACATTTGGAGATCTATGGCACCCAGTTGCTGCCAAGGCTGGCAGCCCTTTAGAATGGCATCTGGTGACCTTTTGCTAAGTCCCCTGTGTCCTCCATATGAGATGCGTGCCCTTGGCAGGTGCACGATCTATATCAAATGAGAGGGCTGGCAAGGTAGTGTCATATGGGGTTAGCAACATGGACCATCCATGGCCTTGGACCAAGGATTCTACCTCATGCTGACACTGAGCTCTACAAGAGAGCCGCCTTGAAGCAAGAGACTAGTGTGAGTGATTTACAACTGGACGATTTCCCTCAGTTATTGTCAGCACCCCAGTGATCCTGTAATTGCTCTGGTTCCTGGATGACACTAAGCTCTCATTGCTCCCAGAGCAGCCAATAAGTCAGAAGTACACACATGGAAGCCAGCTGTGTCTCCTTTCCAAGATACTATTGATGGCATTTCCCCTTTTCCTTTTGAAATGGCAAATTTCTATTTCCTGTAGTGTAGGTAACTCACACACAAACCTGGAAGAAGGAGCTGTACATCTGTGAGAAAGATAACAACAAATGTGTATTGACAAATTGTTTGTGCTAACCACAGACACATGCCGTTTCTCAACTGGAGAGTCATTTTCATGGTAATTTTTAAAGTGCTATGCATTTTTTAATATAACTTTTTCTCGAAACAGATTTAACAGGTTATTTTTGTTTTTGTTGTATACTGTGACTGCTTTAAAAGACAGAAACTTCTCAGCAATTCAGTCCTCAGACTGACCTGGAAAAAGTTTTGAAAAGGTGATTATGACAGGAAGAAGGGTTAACTGTCGTAGGACCATTTTTGCTTTTGAATTGTGCATTTGCTAGTTGAAGACCTGCTCTGCACAAATTCTCAAATTGCACCTGCACAATCCCCCAACTCTACTAACTATAAGATCTGAGATTAAACCATCAAGTAGGTTTAGGTTTAAGTCTCAGGTCTGTTACATAAAATCCTGTAGAAATAAGTCATATGAATTTCCGAACCTTAATTCCTTCTTCCTATAATGTGAATATGAGTACCTTCCGATAGTTGATTTGAGAATGAAGTTAAGGTATAAATGGCCATATTGTGATTCTCATGTAATTTAACATTCAGTAATGCAATTATTTTTGTTGCCATTGCATACCATAGATATTTCTCTTTCTGATGAACTTGAAGTAGTACTAATTCTTTGTTACATTCATTTGACACTTATTTGCATGGTATGTTTTGTGTTATTTACTTAAATTTTAGAACAATTCTTTTAACAATTTAGAGAACCACAGCTTCATTTATGTAAAACTGCACATATCAGAAGTCTGTCACTCATTGAATGCATGCATATCCAGATCAAAAAATAGAGTTGAACAGCACCTGACAGCCTCCCACAATTCCTTCTGCCCTTTGTAGTTCCCCAGAAGAATGACCAATATTCCTACTTCCTGAATCAATCCTACATATATTGTTAACTTTATTGTTGGTACTCTTTGCAGACAGTCAACTAAAGTTTAAGTTTCTTGAGGCCAAGGAACTAACAGCTCTTCTCACTTCAAAGCCTTGTTTGTCACATACTGACTCAGGACTTTTGTTGCATGTCTGGTCCTCCCATCTGTCCACCACTGTGGTTTTCTGCAAAATTCTATTCTGGGTGCGGCCCATGGCTTTAGCCTCTGCATCCCCAGGACAAACCTGGGCAATTCCTAAGGGACAATGTCTACCCTCCTGAGCTGAGGGACAGAAATCTGTGCTCACCAACTTAGCAGGTCAGGTGTCATGTTTTTCTGACCAACTCTCTTTCATGCCTCCTGCCACCTGGCTCAGAGCTCTTGTTCTTGATTCAGACTTCCTGCCTCACCTTCCCCACAGAGACATAACAGGTGACTGCACCATATTACCAGGAAAACACCCAAGATGTCAGCAACCTGATGCCTGTATCACTAAACACACTAATCTGTCGTTGAATTCACTAATGCCACAACATTTCCATACTACTGTTTCCAGTCCTACTGTCTTCTCAGAAACCTCACATGTCACTTAGTGTCTTCAGTGTTTCTTTGATGCCATGATCTCCTTTTTCCCAGATCAGCTGCTCTTCACCATTGGCATGTTTTCTTCACTACTGAGGATTAACCCAGAGCCTTGACACTGAGCTACATCACCAGCCTTCTTTAAATATTTTATTTTGAGGCAGAGCCCCACTAATTTCCAAGAATGGACTCCAATTTGGGATCCTCCTGCCTCAGTCTCCCTGTGTACTGGGATTACAAGTGTGAGCCACCAAGCAGGGCTCACTATTAGCATTTCAACATGTCCTATACAATCTTTAAACAATAGAAACAAATTCCTGCTTAAACCCCACACTGTATACCATGTTCCTGTTTGCATTCTTGTCCCCTTGTTAGCCCTCTTCAGTCTGGTGCTCAGCCTCATGGTCTCATTGAAATTCTGCTTACCAAGACTCCTGACAACTTCCTAAGGCAAACAGACCTTTCCCAAATACCTTTTCTCAGCAGCCTTTGAAATTGGGGTCAGTGGCAAAGCAGCCTCTTAACTGCCAGTCCCAGACTCCTGGTTTTCTTCTCCCTGGGAGTTTCTTCCTGACCTCCTGCGAGGCTGTGTTTTTTCCTGTAAGTGTAGGCATCCATCAGAGACTTTCTAAAGACCTTCTTTTTTTCTAATGCCACCATTACAAAACGGTTATTTATACAATATACATGCAGTCTAATCATTGGCTATAGTTTGACCTCATTTGAATCAACAACTTGGGAGCAATTATTTTATGTTCAAAGTAATATATCAATAATTGCAACTAGAATGTGTATAGTGCCTTATAGGTTCGATGTGTAATTTTTTTGAAATTCATTTGTTCTGATATAAAATAATATTTTCTCATACATTTGGAGTACTATTATGAGATATTATATGAAAAACATAATATAGTAGAGTACAATATAATATCCCAAGGTCTACCAGCCTGAGATAGTATTAACTTCTAGGGTACATTTTTCTAGACTTAATGTTCATACACATTAAATACATACATGTTATATAACTGAAATAACATTTCAATTATTTTTATAATTGTATATTTATTCCTATAATTAGAATTTTCATCAGTATTTTAATGGTTTTATGTATTCTACCACATGAATATAGAAATAGTCACTCGGGGCTGGGGGTTTAGCTCAGCGGCATAAGCATCTGCCTTGCAAGCAGGCGGTCATGAGTTCGATTCCTGATAGCGATAAAAAAAAAAAAAGAAATAGTCACTACATCAAAATGTTACTAAATGTTTCAAATTTTCAGTTTCTTTTTTTTTTTTTTGCATCTTTTCCTTGATACACATTATTAAAGCTGTTTCATGTCATAAAAACATTCCAGCTGCCTGAAATTTAGGATATTTTGTGAGGTTACTCACCTCAGGGATTGATTATATGTCCCATGTGGCAATTAGCATTTGAGTTTCTTATTTTCAAAGAAGTTTTCTATATTTGAAATGATGCCTTGACATTGTTTTGATTTATAAATCTTAGTTATTAAATGAGGCTGATCTTTGTTTAATGTTATCATCTATATTTTAATGTAATTACTACAGTAATTTCTGTATTTCTTTTATTTAATATTAAACATAGCTGGAGGCATGCTAAGGACAAAAGGTATCTTTTAAGGGAGGTGAGGAGACAGGACAGCCGGGCCTGGTGAACTTTTTTAGTCTCTTTTTTCATCAGATGTTATGGCTAAAAATACCTGTTAGATTTATAAATAGAATGTGATAAAACTTGAGAGCTCCTTTTTCACACTGTCCACTACTTACAGTAAGAGTTTTGGAGCAAAGAGCAACTGCATTTATAAATACTGGGAAGGGTAGAGGCAAAATAAACCCCAAAACATAACACCATGGTCCGTCTGCAGCAGATGACAGATAACCATCAGTGCTCAGTGCTGAGACTCCAGGTCCACAGGGTCACACCAACGCCTCCTGCCTTTTGCAAAACCAAGCACATGGTGCTCTGCCCTGACAGTCAGGAAATAAATACCTGCTTCTTCTCAGCTGGCAAGAGGAGAACCTACAGGCGAGCACTCCAGCTGCAGTGAAGAAAGCCAGGACAGGTACTGTAGGGCATGTGAAAAGGGATCCACCAGCTGGTCCTGAGGCCTCTGCCCAGAGTACCAGTGACCTCCTGGGTGATAGTGAACAGCAAGGCAGCAAGGACACAGACCATGCCCAGCAACCAGAAGACACCCAGCAACTCCCAGCAGGTACACTCAGTAACACCTATGTGGATAGTAGAATGAATAATAAAATATACTGCTCTTCTTGATAACTTGTTAGGAAAATATAGATTAAAACAGGCTCACATGAGCACACACATATACAAATGAAAGTCAATATATTTTTGTGAAAAAGGAATTAGAAACAATTACTTTTAAAACTGAAAATGAATTTTAAGGTCATTTTGTCAATTGCATCTTTGTGGACCACTAACAGGGTTTGTCAACCTATGCTGCCCATAGTTAATTTGATAGTAATAAATACAGTGACTGGATATCACTAACCTCTCAAAGTTCGGGCTTATAACAGGGGGAGACTCTGTCTGTTTTGTACTGCAGGAAGAGATCATTTATTTTCAAAATCAAATGCAGCCACACCTAAATGTAAGAAAATTACAAGCCCCAAATTGTCCTGATAGACATATGTATTGCTGTATTCTGTTAACAATTTACAACAAATTTACTTGATAATGAGAAATTTAAATGATTAGTGATTTCTAATTAAAAGCAAGTATAACAGCAACAGAAAACTGGATCTAAACCGAGACAAAACTAATGATTCATTGATAACAAAGTACTATTTCCAAAAATTGCTGAAATTGTAATCAAATAGATATACAGAGTGGAAATTGCATAATGTTGCCAAGCACTAAGTGACAGCCAGATATTTTAGTAGAGTTCTGATGACAGTCTGCAGCCAACCCTAGCACAAATATTTTTATTTTGCAATGTCAATAGCTCTTTTTAATTCACTGCAATATTAGCTAATCTTCAGTCATATGAGAAAACAAATGCCTATATACTTGTGATCTTTTGCTCCTAAGAACCATGCAAAGGATTATGAGTTTAGAGTAGGTGTTACCCATTAGTGAACTTCAGATTACACTTGGCAAGATCAAATTGAACACTGACCTCCACTTATAAAAATGACTTACTCCAAACTAGGCAGAAATCAGCTCTCCTAGTCCCTATTTAATGATTATTTATTTATTTTGCTTTCCCATCATTGATGCTTGCTTGAATTTAGGGCTTGCTTCAGTTCAAGCAGGAGATAACAAATCTGTAGAGTTAAAATAACCTAATATGGACTTCCAAAAACCTCTGAATTTTACCTTAATTTTGACTCTGGAATTGATGTATTTCCTCATGTTTTTGTTGCTCTCCAAAGATGACCTTGGTAACACTATTGCAGTTCTAAAACATATCATTATTGACATACATTTCAGGTAAATTTTACTATTTGCTTTTTGTAATTAACCCTATGAGGTGGGTACCACTGTAATTTCTATCACCGTAATACAGATGATAAAACTAAAACTTGGAAAATTTAAAGTCATTTATAAGTGTGTAGATAAGACGTTTGCCAAGGTTTTCTTTTTGGTTTTCTTCACTCTGTCTCTTTGCTTACTTAAATTCTAATAGACCTTTCTAATTATAAAATATTACATTATCATGTCAAAATTTTGGAAAACTGAAAGAATATACAAGAGAAGAAAATACAAGACATCTGTCTAAAGAAAACTTCTTTCTCTGCATTCCCCCATGCATACACAATGAAAATAATTATGTATACATTCTTGATTCATTGCATGTCAAGAATTCTCTCCTTGGCATGAAAACTATTCATCCTATGCCCATCTTTCATAGCTCTGTGAGGCAATATTCAGAACTAATGCTTAACATTTACTACACACCAGTCTTTACATATATTAGCTAATTTACTATTCCCAAGTACCACTTGAGGAGAAACTCTTATTTTGTTCAATTCGTGAACAGGAAACTGAGAAATCAAAGAAGTCAATTGACTCACCAAAGTTACAAGACTGAAAAGTGGCAAAGCCACATCTCAAATCTAGGTTCTAGATCCTGATCATCCAAATGTGCTTGTCCCTTCAGATGAGTATTACATGGCTCATTTAATAAATCCATTATGAATCTTTAAACCAATTTGTTTCTTGATATATCTTCTATTATATCCATTTGCCCTTTTCTTCCATTGACCTTGCACCTGCTCTTATGATCGGAACAGTGTTCCCAGGGACATTTCTTGAATCTCAAGATCCGAGTTTTTGCTGGCTCTTTGAACCAGACATACATGAGGAGCCTTTCGCTCCTACACTCATCAGGATTTTGTGGAAGCTCACCAGGGTTACTGTTCAGCCACCAAACACAAGAAGGCCTTAGTGGAGGAGTGGCTTTGGCTAATTGTTTCTGTCTTCCAGGCAAGCATATAATACCACCTGCCAGATGGCAGCCACAGTGCCTGGGCCAAAGCCCCTCATTACCACCTGAGTAAGTGGTAAGTAGACTCCTGCTACAGTCACAGGAGTGAAGCAATTGAACTCCTTCTAGATTCTTATCACTCACACATGGTCGAGAATAAGTTTCCCTGCCTGGGACCTAACAGACTGTCTGGACTGGCTAAATTCACTCCAAAACAAAAGTTGCTGCTAAGGACAGAGCTTAGAGAGTTAGGCCCAGAAAGTGCTAAATAAAAGATTAAATTAGAAGAGTTCCTGGAAGGAGGTAAAGAAAGCTGAAAATATTAAGAGAATCCATCATTTCAAATACATAATAACAGTGAAACATCTTACAAATTAACAAGTGCAAACTTTCATTTCACAAATAAAGAATGAAAGGCCGAGAGAGTGTACATGGTGTTTCCAATCTCACACAAGAAAAGAGATAGGTTCTTCTGCCCATAAGCCCTACAATTTTTCCTCTAAATTCATAGTTATATTGTTTCTCAGAAATGTTAGCTCTGCCTTCTCTCAGAAAAATTCAAAAGAATGTGTGGCTAGCAACACACTCCGTAACAGTTTCAGAAATAAAATTAGAGTGCATTTTACATCTGGCAGCATGAAAATAAAAGCGCAAGTGCTTTCATTTTAATAATTATCGGAGCTGGTTAGTAGGGTGTGCTTTCCAAAGCCCTTTGCTTGTGTTTTGTTGCTCAGTCCTCACAATAGCAAGAAACACATGGTGCTGTCCTCATTGTGTAGATGAATAGAAGGATGTCAAGGACCTCCGATTTGGCCATGTATTCACAGCTCAGATGCAACATGTTCAAAGCAGAGCCTTTCATCCTGCTCTTCTCTGAGGTCTGTGTCTCAGAATGATCCCTCCATTCTTCCAATTATATCATCTAGAAACTTGGAAACTTTCCTCTTCTCTTTGTAACTCTGATAGCTAAACAATCATGGAATCCCTTAAATTATTCCTCCTTCTTGTCTTTCCAGCTGTCTTCTTTCATCTCTTCTGTTCTCACCCTCATCAGACCTCCATTCCGTCACCATAGAGATTTTAGTGATCTTCAAACTGCCTTTCCTGTCTCTCCACTTCCTTCTCTATATTGGCCAGCTGTTGTGTAAAAATTGTCCAGTACTCAGCAGTTCATAACAACGATCAAGCATGCTCAGGTCCACGGGTGGGAGCCACGGCAGCTTCTGCTGCTTTCAGTTGGCTTTGGCTGGCTTGACTCTGAACTGTAGCTTTGGTTGAGGCTTGTTCTATGCTTTTCTTACTCTAAATCCAGTTGGCTCCTCATGACAGGTTCTGCTCATGGTGACTGAAACAAATTATAGGAGTACATTTTAAACATTTGCCTGTGCTATGCTCACTAAGCTCTCATAGGCTAAAACATTCTGTGTGTTTAGGCACAGTACCAGAACATCAGAGATCACACAGCACTTGCCTCTCTTACAAAGAACTTGTTGAAACCACTGATGGTGCATCACTTCTGCTTAAAACACTCAAGATCCATTGTTAAATTTCCATAGGCTAGCATAAAATTCAAACTCTCTGACTTACCTTCCCATCCATCCCACAAGTAGAATTCTGTTCCCTTTTGCCTCCTGTCCATTGCTTGAGCTATTCCTTTTCTACAAAATTCTCTTTCCTTTACCTTTACTTAACTAATTTCTAATCATATGAAATTCTCAGCATAGAAATCAGCTGTAATAAGTATTATTTTCTTATTCCTAATACTCAGATAAGTACCTTTCCTAATGTATTTCAAAATGATCATGTAAATACCCTGTAGTTGATATTTTCAGGCTATTATAACAGGTTGCTTTATTGCCTGTCTCTTTCCACAGATCCAAAAATAAAAATTATGGCTTGATCTGTTTGGTTTCCAAAATACCTCTCTCTGTGTATTAACCCAGAGTCAATATTTTGTTTAATGGGGAGATACTAGAGGCTTTCCCATTGCAATCTAGAAGTTGAGTATCCATTAATCGACTAGTTTCTAATTTTAGCTTAAAGATATTACTGACACAGTTGAACAAGAAAGAAACCATATCTACAATACTTTGAAAGGAAAAAATAAACTGTTTAGTCATCTTCAGATAAGATTCTATAACCAAAATCTCAACAAATAGAAGAGCTACTAAAAAAATAAGCAATTTAGCCAATCAGAAAGTTATCACATCAATAGCACAACTCAATACCTATTTACATGTGACCAAAGAGTAAAATAGAAGAGAATGTAGCACATAAGTTCATGACTAAATTAACTGAACAAATAAATCATAATCTAAGTGCTGTAGTAAGGGGCTGTGATGCAAACAGAATCAGGACACAGAATTTATGATATTAGTTTACTATGGTCACCCACAGTGAAAAACAAGAAAGTACAGGAAATCTTCCCACAACACTAAAGACAAAGAATATTCAGCCAAGGGCCTGGATTCCACAGCAATCTCCTGTATGAGTCCAGATCAAAGTCTAGAGCCCATGACAATGCCCCCATGAGTCCAACTGGAGGTCTAGAGCTCAGGAGAAGGACTCACACCACTCTCTTTTACGGATCTGCACTGGGAAGGCCCAAAGGTCAGCTGTGGAAGCTAGAAAGTCTATGCCAGCTGGGTGAAGGTTGAGGGTTCTTCACTGGAGCCAAGAAAGTCACACTCAAAACAAGGACCAGAGTTGCCCTGAAAAGCACCACAGCCATCCCCAGAGACACAGAAATCCTGAGCTCCTCCGATGATAAGAATAGTCAAGTATATGCCAGAAAGCCAGCATGACAAGTTTCTCCTGGTTATTATCTTCCCCTCCAGGTCCAGGAAGTGATGCAAAGGACCAGAGCTCCCTCAAAGTGAACCACAACCACCCTCACCAACAAGGTCCCGAGATCCTCCAATGAAAATGGTCGAACTGGCACTGGGGAAGCTAGTCATGACAAGCTCCTCCAGGAGAACAAATGGCTCAAAACAGCAACACTTAGAGAAACACACAAAACCCAGTCTTCTTCTCCATGTCTCCATGCTGGCAACTTTCCTTAGGTGGACCATCTACACTCAGCACCATGTTGATTTAATTCAGCTGGTGTTAAGTTGACTACTAGTTTTTAATCCATAACACCAAGGCATAAGCTTAATAAGAAATGTCTCAATCTTTTTGAGAAAAAGAAAAAAACATATTTTTACTAGAAATAGTTAACACTACTTTGCTGTCACTCTTCTCTGAGATAATTTATAAACTGTATGCAATTCCAACAAAAGAAGTATTAGATTTTCATTTTGCTTTAGAACTAACCAGATTGATTCAAAACAGTTTGGAAAAAGGCCAGATCAACAGTAGTTAAGAAACTTTAAGAATGAGGTATAGGGTAAGATAATACTACAAAATGTTAACACATAAAGTTTCTATCTTTAAAATAGAGTGCCTTGTACATACAGATAAAACACCAGTGAATCTGAAGCGAAAAATCCAGAAATAAATCATGTATACACAATCACAATTTTATTTATGATACCATTTGTACCATGAATGAATAGGGAAAAGATTAACTTTTTAATCAGCAATATTAGAACTATTAAATAAGTATATAGAAATTTTAAATTGTATCTATTCTTCACATACCAAACACATAGAGGGTGTAGATAGGGATATATTCCAAGTGGATCTAAAATTTATGTGTAAAAGAGTAAAACTACACAGAGAGTATATGTATACAAACATAATTTTCTTTATCATCTAGAATATGGAAAAACATCTATATGACTCAAAATGTCCATTTAATAAGAAAAAGAGTGATAATTTTCATTATATGTATATGATCAGAAACCCTGAAATTGAAGTGCATAAATATTTGACAAGTTGTGAGGAAATCTACAGTTTATATCATAAAAATGTACCCCGGAAGTCACATGTGACAAAGATTCTTCAGGCTATCTTGTTACCTCAGTAGGATATTGTAATTCAAGGAAACCAAAGTAGAGAATTTATATACCAGACAGTGAGAGGTGCCCTGGAAACTACCAAGGTGAGAAACTAAGGATCTCAATCAGAGTTTTCAGTTTCATTGTTTTGATGCTTTTAGAACATTCCTTGCTTTGGAAAACAACAACCCAGCTCAGGATGATTTATATCTATCAAGCGTCTTAGTCTGAAGTGATTCACCAGCGGCCTATCCCAGTTATCTGTCTTTCAATAGATCTTTGGAGTTTTGATGCTGGAGTTAGCAAGCTGTAAGACAGTCCTGGCCCACATGCACATCATATTACATGGAGGGAGACACACAAGAAATAATAAACATCTTAGTCACTTTCTTCATCACTGGAATACAACACCCAACACCTGCAGCATAAAAGACAAAAGGCTTATTTTCGCTAATGTTTTAGTCCAGCTCCAAAGAAGAAACAGAAAGGCAGATGGGCATGACAGAGGAGTGCCATGACACAAAGCAGAGGGAAGAGAAAGCAGAGGAAGAAGATGCACCTTTCCAGGCCATGCCCTAAGTAACCAACCACTCACTAGGACCCCAGCCTACAAGCCAGTTACTTACACCATCCCCATAATTCAATCACTTTCTAAAGGCCCCACCCATGTGCTCATGAGGCTCTTGGGGGACACCTAGATATAAACCGCAACAATAAATAAATAAATAACATAACATAACTAAAGAAGTAAAAGACCTCTACAACCAAAACTACAGTACTTTGAAAAGAGAGATCAAAGAAGACATCAGAAAATGAAAAACATGCCTGTTGTGAGTAGTCAGGACTAATATGGTCAAAATGCTATACTGCCAAAATTGACACACCAATTTAATGCAATCCTAATCAAAATAACAACAGCATTTCTCACAGAGCTAGAGAAAACAATCCTAAAATTCATATGGAGCTAGAAGAGACCCAGAAAAGCAAAAGCAATCCTGAGCAATGAGAACAAAGCAATAGGCATCATAATCCCAGATTTTGAGTTATGTTACAAAGCTACAGTGATTAAAAAAACAGCAGGGAACACACACAAAAACAGACATATAGATCAGTGGAACAGAACAGAATACGCAGAAAAAACTCAGACACACTCAGGTGTTTAATTTTTGATGAAAGAGCCAACATATACTGGAGGAAAAGTATCTTTTTTTTTTTTTTTTGGCACCAGGCATCGAACTCACAACCACGCGCTTGTCAGGTAGGCGCTTATGCCACTGAGCTAAATCCCCAGCCCAGGAAAAGTATCTATTTAAATAAATGGCACAAGGGAAAGTATATATCCACATGTAAAGGGTTGAGTCTGTACTCATATATTTTGCCATGCACTAAACTAAAATGGATCAAATATCTAAATATTAAACAGAAACATATATTTAATAGAAACATAATCTGTCGGAAGATAAAATAGGTAAAGCCCCTAAAGACATAGGTGTACATAAGCCTTTCAGAACAGAACCCCAATGGCACAAGAAATAATGCCAAGAACCAGCAAGTAAGATCCTATCAAATTAAAAAACTTTTGAAAAGCAAGGAAAAAACCTACAGAATGAGAAAAAAAAATCACCAGCTGTTCCTTGGACAAAGTATCACTATCTAGAATATATAAAGTACTCAAAAATTTAAACCCTCTCAAAATACAAGATCCATTAAAGAAAAAGAGCGACTGAAGTGAGTAGACACTTCCCAGAAGAAGCATAAATGGCCAACAAATGAATGAGAAATCTTCAACATTTCTGGCTAGCAGAGAAATGTAAATTAAAACTATTGCAATTTCATTTTACTCCAGAAAAAAATGAATATCAAGAAATAAAACAACAAATGTTAGCAAGGGTGAGGGAAAAATGAACGCTTCTATATTGTTGGTGAGAATGCAAACTAGTAAAGCTACTGTGAAAATCAGTATAGAAATTTCTCAAAAAACTAAAAATAGAAATTCCATTTAACCCTGGTATTCCCTTTTTAGATATTTTCTTGAAAGAGATAAAGACATCATCATTTATAGTGATCCATGAATACCAATATTTATAGTAGCACAATTCATAATAGCTAAATCTTGAAACCATCCTATATGTCTGTTCATCAACAGATAAATTGATAAAGAAAATGTACGCACTCAAAAGGAAGTATTACTCAGCTATAAAGAAGTTTATCCTACATAAAGAAAGATAAACTTGAGTCATTTGTAGGAAAATGGATGTACCTTGAGACAATAATGTTAAGTGAAATAAATCAGACACACAAGCTTAGATGTCACATGGTTTATCTTATATAAGAAAACTAGAATATAAATCAGGAACAAAATAAAAATAGACAAAATGAAATAAGGAGACTTTTTTTGAAAATGGGGGACTACTTTTTAGCATGTTTATCAAACATGTGTTAATTGTATACTGCCAAAATCAGTGTTGATGCATGTTTTCTTCATGGGGGACTCAGTGACCCAATGACTCCACGGGCAGAAGCCCTTTTAGAATGGGAGTGTTTAAGGGCCGGTTTGTTTCCTCATGCTTTCCCTTTTTCTATTCTTGCCTCTCCAAGATTTCTAATTAGGCAAAAGTCTACTGCAGCTCTGTACCCACTGGAGACTAGTCCCAGTCCTACATGCATGGCCTCCCCAGGAGGATGCTCAGAGGTTGGTTCAAGGAACAGAGGGCAAGCTGAGGTGAGAGATCCAAGAGCTACTGGATATTTTATATTGTGGATGAACAGGTTGTGGTCTTGATTGCATGTTTTGGTGTGGAGCAGATAATAAGACAGTCTGAGGCATATGTCAGACAGCATTTCAGGAAGCTTCCCTGAAGTGTTCACAGGCAAACCCTACAGATCATAACTGAGCTCCTAACTGTTCAAAGGTGCCCAAGCTCAGAAAGGCCATAGTTTTTCCAATTAGTCAAGATCTTGGCTTCTTTTTTGGTCTGCAAAGAAGAGACTGATGGGTCTCTGTGTCTTTTATTCTAAATTCTCTTACGATTGAAATAATATTTTGGAAAGGACAGATGGGGCATTAAAGAGCTCATGTGTTCCCTGAGATGATTTGCTTCCTGTCTTCTACGGCAGAACAGATCTGAGGCAAGGTAAACTAAGGTACCTACAGGCTAAACCCTCATTCTCAGGTCCTTCCTCCAGTCTTGTTCCCACCAGGCCTGCAGGTGGATGCTCTGATGCTTCCTTGGGCCTTCACCTGTCTCATATTAGAGCCATGTTCACTCTTCCTCTGCTGTGCTAGGACATTGCTCAGAAGGCAAGAAGAATGACAAGATAAGATGTTTTTCTTCTCACTCTGGTCAGGAGAGAATTCAAGTCACATGCCTTGAGTTCCAGCTTGTTGGACCAGCTTCAGGAGGAGATGAAAGCCCTAGACCCTATCTCTTTAGGATTCCTCTTTATGTCCCAACTGAGCCACCTCATTCCAAGGCCCGAGATCTCCCTACAGCTGCCCAGAGTCCAATTCCTTTTCCAGAGGTTCTCCAGAAGTGGCTCTCCTGATATGATGCAACATCTTGCTGGGCTCAGCATGGTTCCCTTTAGTGGCTCTTACATGTGCCACTAGAGTCATAGATCTGAAAGGTTGTTTCCTTCTTAAAGTTAACCTTTACCTTGGATCCTTAAGTTTATATTCATGCATAGAAATTTCTAGTCAAAACAGTCTGGATTTAGAGCTTTGAGCTCTGTTTGATTTTTCTTGGAAGACCTTTCATTATCTGCTCCTGTCCCTGGGTGGATGATGACAAATTCAGGGTGATGGAGCCACTTGAGTCTGCATTAAGCTGATACAGCTTGAGGGCCCCAGTGTAAGAATGGGGAAGGGTTAGAGGGAATAGGGTCTTTGAAATATTATTTACCACTAGCATTTTACTGATTGGGAAACTGAGTGCTAGAGGCTCTCAAAAAACTGGCTCAGGCTAGCCAAGCAATTAATAGCAGATCTGGGACTGAGACAAGTTCTCCAACAACAAATCCAGGTCTTTAGGTACTGTCTATGAGCATTGCAATCAAACTCACACTCAAAGTGGACTATAGTGTGATCCAAATACAGGCAAATTCACAAAGCCATGGGAAAAATAGTCTAAACCAGGAAAGAGTAATAACAAGGAGAAAATCTTGGATGGGCACGCACTTACTACAAGGCTACAGACAGAGAAGACCTTAAGACAGAAGGCCTAGGCCATGTCCCTTATCCTTATCCATCCCCACAGTGACATGGGACATTCTCTACTTATTGTTCTCATGCCTTAATGATCTCAGCTGCAAAACCAAGTCATGGCCCTGCTCACAGGTGCTGTCTCAGGATTTAGTGATATGACAAATGCAAAATTACTGTTCTATGCCTAGCATTTAGTAGGTGCTCAAATATGTGTTGGCTCTCTCCTCTCCTGTGACTGCATAATGGAATTCATTGTGTATTATGAGACATTTTAGCAATACAACGCCAATTTGTTTACAACCTACATGAATCTTCAGTGTAATCTAGCTTCCTAGTCTGAGATCTGGCTTAGATCATAGATCCTACCTGGCCTCCCTCCTCTACTTCAGCCCCATTCTCTACAGTTGTCTGCTCACTCAAGCTCCAGAGTGCTACCAAATCCCTTCATAGAACTAAATGACATTCCTCTGGTCATCTGCCTGAAATTTGTCACCTAGGTCAAGGTAAAATTTTATCCCTAGAAAATATAAATTAATCTGTTGAATACATCTAAACATAAGCATGTCATATATAAAAATTGCAAAGTTTCATTGAAAACACAATGTGTGTTTAAATTCATAGAATTAGACTACAGTAAAAAACACATTGCCACAAATCCCCCTCACAATCCTTCGAACAGACTCATCTTGTGGTTCTTCATACTTGCAGAAGCAGTTTTAGAGCCTTCTTTTCTGCAGGTTTTTAGTTGTACAGTCCTGGCTGCCTCAAAGTCATTTTGAACAAGCCTGACTTTTTGTTAGATGGCACGCAACAGCAAGATTTACCTTGTTTTTGATCATAGTTCTTAAAGAGTCTTACAAAAGAGGACTCCAGAGCTGCTTCAATTAGTGGCAACAATGACAGATGAGTGTATTTGAAGTAAGAAAGTGTATTTTGAGAGAGACTAATGGCAATGCGTTGTTTACTGTGATAAATGTTTATTTATTTAAATATTACTATATTTTCCATTACTCCTATGTATTAGAACTGTGAGAGGGCAGGAGAGAGCTTGGAGACTAGGCTAACTGTACCATAGTAGCAACACAAATTCTCAGAGCTTAAAACAAAATTTTGGGTTCTTCTTTTGTTTTTAAGTTACATTCTTTAAAGTTGTACACAGCCCTCTCTAGCACTGCAGCACCCACACTGATACAAACTCCCTGGAGCGCTTTTGAGCAGTGACAAAGGCAGAAGGGGCGGGAGAGGAAGAGTGTCACATGAGCCCAATGTGGAACTGGTCTCTTCTCACAGATCATGGCCAGACTTGGACACATCCTCGCCCACCCACGCGTAACCAGGAAGTACAACTTGCCTTTTCTCAAGAGGGGGTATAAGAGGACTACTTGGCAAAAACTGCTAATAATAGTAACACTGTATTTTTAAAAAGTTTTAAAAACTTTTGATGATAAAAGTTTTCCAACTACATTATATCTTAGCAGCCTATTCACCATAAGTGTGAATTAAATGGGGCTATTCTATTTTGCACTTCATTTTCAGGTGAATTATGGAAAGCTACTCTGGTTTTTACATGGTGCAACTTCTGATGATTTACAGCAAAGCAGAGCAGTTGCAGACATCAACTAGATGGATGCTCGCAATTGGACTGATCCTACCCAAAGATATTGTTTCGCTTTTTGTGGACATATTGTTCTAGATGTCCAAGCAGACAGGCTTCCCTAATAAAATATCACAGCCCAGCTGTCTCTAAAGGACACACATTTACTTCTCAAAGCCTAGAAACTAAGAGTCCAAGATGATAGGATGAGCAAAAGCCATCTTCCAGGTTGCAAATGCCAACACTCCTCCAAGATCTTACACAATGGAGATGCCAGGGACTTGAGGGCATCAAGATAATGTCTCACCTGGTGCAGAGAGAACATGGGTTTCCTCTCACCAACAAGGCTCATACCTATGGTCTCTCTCTCTCTCTCTCTCTCTCTCTCTCTCTCTCTCTCTCTCTGCACAGAAAGTTATTTGCAGCCAGGGCATCTCTTTCTCAATTGCAAATATGTGTTTTTATGCAATTGTTGTGTGGAGATGAAATACCTCCCTATGAACTGATAATCTATTGTACATGAGTACAGAGTTCATCCACACAGTGCAAATACAGAATAGGTCATTCAGTGAAGTCCCTTGTCACAGACACAAGCAAAAGTTATGAAGTACAGAAACCAAAAATCCCTTCACATGTTAGCAAGGGAAATAAATAGCTGAAAAGACTGGAGGAGCCAGGTCTTGTGGCATACACCTGTAATCCCAGCACTCGCAAGACCAAGGCAGGATAGCTGCCACAATTTGAAGTCCAGCTTGGGCTACAGAGTGAATTCAAGACCAACCTGGACTACGTAATGAGACTGTGTCTCAAGAAACAAGCAAACACACCAAAAAAAAAAAAAAAAAAAAACCTAAAAAAAGAAGAGAAATACATCTAGACGCACATTTATCACTGTGGTATGATGCTTTTAATTCTTTTGGGAAGATATCAAGGAAGAGGAATGGCTGGATCAAATGGAATCTCTAGCTCTAATTTGTAAAGGTATTTCCACACTGATTTCCACAGTGGTTACACCAGTCTACACTCCCAGCAACTGGGAACAATGGAGAAGGTTTCCTTTTTCTCACAACCTCACCAGCATTTGTTATTGGTTGATTTGTTGATAAAAGCTACTCTTTCTGGAGTAGTCTGTAATAGATTCAGTAGTCTCATCTATTAGTTAAATCTTGGGAAGAACTCAAATGTCCATCAGCTGAGGAATGGATTTAAAAGATGTGCTTTTTTCACACAGTGAAGTACCAAGCCATAAAGAAAGATATACTTGAGATATTTATATCTAAATTAATGGATCTTGAGACCATACTCTTAAGTAAAATTAATTTGACACATATGTATAAATATTGCATTGTCTTTCTGGTATAAGAAACTGAAAGTGTAAATAAGAACTAAAACACATATATTGTGAAAAAGAAAGTAATTGTTTAATAGGAAAGGGGATCTGGGGGTGGAAAAAGAAAAAAACAAAAAAATAAAGTGGAAACAACGCTTTGTGAATAAGGAAGGGAAAAGGGTGAAGAGAGGGGAGGGAAATGTGAAAAAAGAGGCACTAAAATATACATGTACAGGTACAAATTCCCTATGATGCATGTTATTATTGTACATATCTAAATTATACCAATAAGCTTAATTATAATAAAATTGAATTCAACTGCGTATCAAAAATATCATTCACTATGAACAAGTTGGTTTCACTGCAGGGATGCTATGATAGTTGAACATATACAAATCAATAAACATGATACATATGCAAAATGAAGGATAAAATTATACTATCATCCAATTAATTCATAAAATTATTTGGTTAAAAAAGAGAAATACATTTAGAGATAAAGCAAAGTATGATCTCCACATTCCCCAAGAAAGTGATACGGCACAGTGGTTAGGAAGAAGGGTGTCTACTGCCAGGCACTGGGCTTGTCTCCTGCCTCTGCCAGGAGTAGCTGTGTGGCTGTGGTCACTTAGCCCCTCTCCTATCTCCCACCATTATAGGCAGTGCTGCATTCTTCAGGCTTTACTTTAGGGCCACAGTGGCCCAGAAAAAACCTGATCCAGGTGGCTGAAGGTGGAGAAATGTCCCAAGCTCTCTCTGTCGCTCTAGGGAAGTGGCATTGAGCTGAAAGTGTATGTCATGGTTTATGTTTGTGTCCCCCAGGCCTCATGAGTTTGCATTGTTTATATGTGATGGTTCATTGTATAGTGCTTGGATTGATGGTGTCAGTGTTCCACCCACATAGGGGTGGAGCCAGGATGTGATGTAATGGCAGGAAGAAGGTGTGTTTCTCTCTTTGCTGGTTCGAGTTTGTTGTGGGCAGCCGCCATGAACTGCAGCCCAGCCATGCTGCCTGCCTTGGAGCCAACTGAGTGTGGACTGAAACCTCCAAAAACTGTAAGAAATAAACCTTTCTTTTCTCAACTTGGGCATCAGGTATTTTGTCTCAGCGACGAGTAAAAAGTAACTAAGACAGTGTAGAGCAGGACAACGGATTTAAATGTTAAATGAGTAAACATCTGACATCAGTTTCATGGAATAAATGATTGCAACAGTTTATCATTGTGTCGCTTCTCATGTAATAGTTAAAATAATGCTCCTCAATTAGATGAACCATCTTAATACACATATTCCTTAACAGCAGACCTGTTTAAAGACTGTTCACACTTACAAGCAGTGTGGATTTATGACCCACCATTCAGACTAACAACCCATTATTTTTATACAGTCCTATACATCTTGTTTGTAGAGCCTCACTGTCTTTTTTGTACAGCACACTTTGTTTACATAGTACTGTAGATTTTGTTGATTGTATGGTGAAGTATATTACTGTACCTTTATGTTCTGTTACACATCACAGTGTTGCAAGTAAGAGTGATGCAAATAAAAGCAAAGTCACCAAGTTGGAGTTTCCTTTGACCATGTCTTTGTTCGAGATGCTGCAATGTGTACTGCCTATGATTTCTCACTTAGAGACCAATTGATTTCGCAATCTACTCACGGGATCCTGGCTCAGTCAGGAAATGAGGAATGCCTGTAGTATATACACGTGCATGCCATACTGTGAGTAAATGATTGCTGCCAACATTTTTGTAAGCTTTAGCAGACCAGAGCCAAGGGGATACGGCACATCTGCCTGGTTAAGGGTTTCCTGACATGCAGATTTCCTGGTCAGAGTGGCTGGCAGGAGCTGCTTTGCTTTACTGTAACAATGAATAATGTAGAAATTCAACTTTCCATTTAGAATTATCTGACTTTTAGAAAAGCAAGATTAAACAGGCAATGTGCACTCAGTTTTTTTTTAACTTGTTTCCCCTCAACTTGGAAGAAAGAGCTAGAAAAGTGGATTAAAAATTGTGGTCTACATGTAGTCACACAGACGATTTCCTTCTGTGAGGCGATGGCACTCACTCCATGGAGTAATTCACTCTGTGACAAGCCCCAACCAGGATTCCAAGTTTAGGGCTGAGCAGCCAGATTCTGGAGTGCACAGAGGAGAGCAGATGGAGAAACACAATAGGAAAACATGCAGCTGCCTTGTGTGGCCTGTCTTTTCATGGCCTGTCCCCTGCCCCTCCATCTAGTCCCCCTCCTTGACCATCAGACACTGACCAGAGCTTGCTGGAGATGCTGAAAGTGCTATCAGAGACAGCCAGAAGCCCACTCAACATAGAGAAACCCAACTGGACCTTTTGGAGAGAAAATCATTCATTCTTTGGCTGCCTTCCCCCACACAAGGTAACAAAATTAATCTTCAGATGGCTCAGGCTCCTTCAGAACACTGGGTCTATACTAATAAGGCATGGCTATCGTCTGTGTTCCACTGGAGATTCCTTATACAGTTTTTTGGTGTTAGTATGTGACAGAAGAAAAACATAATAGAAAGAATTATGCAATGTGCAGAACTGGCCCAGGAACCACATTTGGGCCGTTTTGTGTTACTAGAAAATATGACAATATTCCAATAATGTTTCACAATGGAAAATGAATATTATTTCAAGGCCAAATTCATTTCTCGTACCCTCCCTTAGCTCCTAGTGAGAACTACATATGGTATCTCACTCTTAGAAACACCATATTTCAGGGGCTGATGTAATTTATTACTAATAGAGGTTAGCAAACTGCTTTGGAACATTAATTAACTATGCAGACATGTTTTGTGGAAGAGGATCCAGGACCACACTGATTCATGGGTCTTTTGTAACCAAGACTACTCTGGATATAGGTGAAATGATAATAGTCACTATTGCTCTCTGAATTAACTGAATTAACTATACCTGATCTCTACCTCACAGCTAGATTCTTACTCTATGCTAAGCATTGTACTACTTTACTTACATGGCTTCCTTAAAAAGGTTAATGCTTTACAAAATGCCATGAAATCTAGGTAGGTACTGTATTCTTATACCATGTTATAAATGAAATAAAATAGAGTCTGAAAAGGGCCAGTTTTATCACATGAGGGCCATGTGTATCAGTGGCACAGCAAGGAGAGTTCTGGCTCCCATCCTGACTGTTCTAGAAGTGGAAACTGAAGTGGAACTGCATTAGATATAAGATATCTAGAAGCTTCCATTGAACCCACTCACTTACAATACAAGAGTTTGAATTCTATTGGATTAGAAAGACTAGAAATTACAAGGGGGAAAGAATCCTGCCAGAAAGACTGGAATATACTTCTCATCTATGTATGAGGATATTAGAATTGAAAGAGTTGGGGAATTTTAGTATGGAATCAAGTATACAACATGCTGCAAGTGAGTTGTTTTTCTAGGACAAAAGCTGCATTTACACAGTGTGTCATGCAATGCAAAGTTTGTGTTGAAGTTCAGTGTAAGTTAGACATGCAAGCATGTTTCACTAAAGAGAGCCTGTACATCTTCAGTAGTCTTTAGTGCACTTTTCAGCAGAACTATAGAAAGAGACTAAAGAGCAGCAGTTCTTTCTATAAAATACAAAATACCACTGGTAAAGCCTGAATGTTCCTAGATATTCATAGAATAGAACAGTGAAAACTTGAACATTATAATGTATTTACTTAATCTCTTTGAGTCTCATATTTTTAGCTGGAAAACCTGCATTCAAATAGCTACCCATTGGAGGTTACTTACTGGGTGAATTAAATGAAATAAATATGTGAAAGTACTTAGCTTACTACCTAATATACAAGGCCCTAAATAAGTATTAGTTTCCTACTTTCCAAAGAAATCCATCTGGTTAGAGTCTGACTTCAGAATAGCTGAAGGGAGCAGGATCATTCCCATGGTCAAATAAGGCCCCCATGGAGCCCTGGCTGCCAGGGAGACCCAGACCATTCCCTACAGCTGGCCCTGAAAGCTTAATTTTGTGGTTCAGATCCAGGAAAATAGGGTACATTTTTCTTGAAGTTTTTCAGCCTTTTGTGAGTCATCTGTCATCTTTAAGACATCTGGAATGCACTCAAAATGTATTGCAGTTTTGGGAGGTGTGCAAAATAGAATTTTTTCCTTCAAATGTGAGACAAATTGCTGCCCAAAGGAACATTGGATATAGGAAGCTACAGCAGTCTTGTCCAACTTCCTTGCTTCTGGAAATAGCACTCTGAGTAGAATGAAAAGGCTCTACAATGAAGGGTTTTTGGTTTTGACCAGTCGCTCTTCTCTCTTTGGAGTATAGGAGAGAGAATCAGTGACCTTCGTGTTTATCCCACAAAAGTTATACTTTCTCAAGGGAAAAGAAAGAAATAATCCAGACTGCATAGCTACCATTTAAAGAGTTGACTGCCCATCTGTAGGTTCCAAAATAAATGAACACTGTTCTCAAGTATAATCTGTGGGTCTTGTTCCTCAAATCAATGGTATTTCAACCAATTACAAGCAATAGCATAGAAATGTTAAATGTCTTTATTGTGTGGGTGCTCTTATCCTGATCCTCACACTCATCTTCAGTGTGATAGCTTTTGGTAAGGCTGCTGAAGCAGTATGGATTCACAAACATGGATTTATTAGCTGTTGTGTCCATTACCCAAGTCAAGTGTGGGATCCATGTGACTGGACAGCCTGAGAAGTTTTGGAGGAATCAGCTCAGTTTAATCCTTTTACATATAATGTATATTCCTGATCTTTGGAACTAATCCCCACTCTGCCTCATGTCACAGACATCTCCCACACTGCTACCTGAACTCCCTCACACCCATTGCAAGGTCTCTGGCACATAGACTGCTCACATGTAATTACTCTTTGCCTCATTGTCATGCAATTTCCTCATTATCTTCAGGAGATATTCTTGTTACTAAGATGACCAGGGTTTGTAAATATGAATTTCATTCTTGCAGCCAGACTCCAGGTAGGATGCTAGTAGAACTAACTTGATGGTCAGGCTTCCTTCTACAATTTTTCATGCTTTCTCTTGTTTAACTGTATTATATCTGTTGTTGGAGACCACAATGAAGTGGTTTTGAATAGGATTTAAAATTAACTGATTGGCTTTCTATATTTATCTATGAGTCTGTCCTAGGCCTAGGCCCCTGGCCTGGTGATGAGATCTGATTCATAGTAAGCGAACCTCTATGTATCACTGGTCCTCGCTTGACTTGTAGTAGTCTGTGATGCCAGAAATACTTCAAAAGGTAAGATATGGCTACAGCTGAGGACACATGGCTCAAACATCAATTAAGTAGATAGAGACTGCTGCTGCTACAGGGCATCTCACTCCTGAAGTCTCACTCCTACCATAGATGTCATCATGGAGATATGATGGTTCTCCTGAATTGGCACAATTTACTACTTGGAGAAGTCTTTGAAATGACTCCCAAGGTCTTGTTCATTTCTCATGCTTTCCTCAGTATCTCCACTCTTTATTTGGACTTAACAAATATGGGCAGTCCAGAGAAGCTCTTTGTCTTAGCCCTCAGAGTCTCGAACATGGCAGAAGGGTTTTGACCCCCATGGAGCTCTGAAACCATATTGCTTATCTCATTTATTTAAGCTTTTGCAATACACTCATTTGGGAGATTGAGAATCTATGTCAGAACCTGATAATATGTAAACTGTTCCTTGAGACAAAAGATTTTTACTTATCTTGCATCATTCTCCTCTTCCAAGGTAATAGCCATCTTTCTGATTAATATGGCACGTTTATTCTTGCATTTGTCACCAAAAAAATCACTCAGCATGCTCTTAGCACCATGATAGACACTGAGGACAGCATGCTCTCTTATTTCAGCTTCACTGTTTGGAACTTAGTGAAAAGGCACCACATCCTCACAAGTCTGTGCTAAATGCAATGACTACATACAGAGAAAGACATCAATGTAACCTCACCTGAAAACTCCAGAGGAGCACGTCTAAACACAGAATCTTAGAGAACAAGCAAGTTTGACAAAGGATGAGAACAAGGATGATGGGCAGGAGAGAATAAAAAGATGTTCTAGGTAAAGGCGTAGTGTGAAATAGCACTGGATGGGAAGCTTACAGCTAATTCAGGAAACTGCTGTTAAATCCTACACAGGTTGACTCTAGAATAGAAAGTAGAAGCCAGTGTATGAAGTGTCTTCTAAGGAAGGTGAATTTTGTCCTGAAGGTACACAGGGATCACTGAAAATACAAAAGAATAAGGGATACCAAGTCTGAAATTTTAAAGAACATCCCAACAGAATGTGGAGAATGGATGTAGGTAGGAAAACCTAGTGTGAGAGAAATAATTTTCAAAAGTTGTTACAATAATCCAGCCAGAGATCATGAAGACTTAAATGAAGGCACGAAGAGGAGGGGTGGAGACATTAGGAGGTAGAAAATAGAACTTGGTAACTTATTGAAAATGGGACATGAATGAGGAGGAATCAAGAATGACTCCCAAGTTTCTGGCATTGGCAACTGTCGGGTGTTGGTACCATTCTCCGAAACAGAAAATGGAAAAGGAATAATTTGGGGTATAGATAAAGGGCTAATGAGTACAATTTTGAATGTGTTGATTTGGGTAGAGATTGGGGTTGCGGAGTGGTATAAAATTCTTCTAGAAGGAGTGGAAGTCATGCTATTATTCAAGGACATAAGGGAAAATGAGAAAGGAAGAAGGGATTCACTGTTAAGGAGTAAGTACATAGATAAGGCACTAAAAGAAGCTAAAATAATCATCAGAAGCTATAGTGGTCAAAAAATCAAAAAGGGAAGAGTTAGACAAGTATGTAGTCCCATTCTGTGGAGACCATCTGTAAGCAGGACTGGAAAGTCTTTAACAGGCATAAACCCATGGAACTTCCAAGAGCCTTGGGAGGGGTAGCCAGAACATGAAGTGATGGGGTGAAACACAGATATGAGGGAAAGGAGGATGTTGTCACTTGTTGCTCTTTCAAGCAAGATTTATAGTCATTTCATGTGTAACTTTTGAATAATATAGACATTTTGTTTACAGACAGAAGAAAAATAAATGTTATCTTACTGAGAGTCATCACTATGATTCTTCCTGTTTGAAGATCTTGAAAACACTCTTGAGCAGCCCCCAAGGCTCTCCGGCCCTTGTGCACATTGCTGTTCTGCCTCTATGGACACATCTTTCAGTGCTGTCCATCATTCAGCAATCCTGGTGCACTATTTATGATCTGCTGTTTATTGTAATGGACAGCAAAACTCAGTTGCTGCCAAAAATAAGGAATTTGTTTTTAGAATAACCTTTTAATGTGAATGTCTAGAAGTGTGCTAATACACTGTACTCATGAGGATAATTCAGGGTTTTTTAGGGTGATCAATAACCACCCCTTT